AAAAAAACTAGAAATACTAGGAGCTTTTTGTAAAAACTAGGAAAACTAGGAAATACTAGGAACGCTGGAGAGCCTGAATATTGTAACTATTAAAATATGGATTATTAGCTATGATTTTAGCTACACTAATTGGTATAACATAAAAAGTAGTTTAATTAAATTTTGAATGTAACTCATTAAAAACCTTGTGACATGTGCAGTAAAGGATGCCTGTGGCAAAAGGATTAATTCATTACTAGCAAAAAGCATACAAAGAAAGCTGAAAACGTACATCATGATGCATTTAAATTTAACTTCACTCCATTTATCAGTATTTATACTTGTTCTTTAATAAGTATGCACTCACCTAGAGCATAAAATCACCTTCTAGGTTCCATGCATTCTATCTACATATCCAAACAACTCAAATTCCATTACAAAAACACAGGTGAGAAGCCATGCTGAACTTTACAGAAGTAATGTCATCTGCTCCCAAAGAACAAGTTATGTGATATATCCATCCCAATGTTTCATACTTAACAATAAACTAGAAAATTTGAGGTTTTTTCCTGTTATCTAACCAACTGAGGGCATAATATTCTTTACAGCTGGCTAATTAACTTGATTAATAAATTACCAGTGAGTATCATTGACATAAGTGTTACATGAAATAATCAACTTGTCAAAATTATGATTAAATCAATTAATGACACAAAAATAAACAACTAGTGCTTCCAATAATTATTATCTTCAATTATTCCAATTATCCAGTAATCAAAATGATGATGAAATTAATTAATGTTTTAAAATAGTCAACTAATTAAAATTACAGTTCCTGATTATTACTATTTTTGATTATTCCAATGACAGTTAATCAATTAGTACATTCTACTAATTGCCCAACTCTATTCTTATATCATCAACTTTTCTTCACCTTCCACAATAAAACTGTTAAACACCTTTAACGCTTACAGTACACTGCAAAACATAACCTTACAATTGTTGTAAGCTGTATTTTTAGCTTTTTCTAGTGAACATTGAAATTAAAATATTACTTATAAATACAAGTTATGAATTATGAAGCAATTAGTTCAGTGATAAGAGAATTCAGTGAAATATTCAGAGTGGAGGAAGCAAGTAGTTGTTGACTGAGAGAATATTGATTGAATCAAGTTATTCAGCAAGAGTTAGTGCTTCTGTAAGCTAATCAGTAAGTTAGTCGGCACTTGTTAGCAACCAAGGAAATTTTTAAACATTATTAGTGTATTAGGCCTGCAACTTGCATCAAAGTGAACATAGCCTGAAGCAAATGTTATTGAAGAAATAAATTAATTTGTTAATGTTATGTGGACTAGAATTGGCACTATTTGTACCAAATAATCAAAATGAAAACATTAAATGATAGACAATGTTATAACACATGTTACCTAATACATTGAACACATAATGGCAGTGTATGAGATTAAACTGGAATTTCATTTTAAAAACAGATTCTTTCATCAAATAACTAAGCTTTTTCTTACTTTATACTCAACTTTTAAAGTATTTTAATCCAAGACTCAGTATGTTGGTCTGATAATTACTAGTTTGTAGTAAAGGTGATGGTGAGATGAATGATGAAGTTAAAATTCATAATTTCTTTACACTGGTTTGAATAATTTTTTTACATAATTATAGCTTTCAAAGTTTTAAACTACAGCTTCCACTAGCCATTTCCAAGTGGAATTTGTATGTAGTAATTTTAAAAATATCTTTTTTGTGTAACTAGTAGTTGTATTTCTTGATTAACAAACAAAAAATTTTTTAGAAATCTTTGTGTACAAAAATTACAATAAATAGAACAATAGTATATAATATAAGTAGTCAACTTGGGCCAGTTGCAAAGTCCAATAACTGTAGGATACACATCTGGGTGGTTTCTTCCAATGAACTCTTGTGGTACTACTGAAATTTCATGAGGCTTTTAATTTCAACAATTAGTTGCAGAACTCAAAGTACTGATGGAAACATTATTGCATGTTAAGAAGCAGTAATGTCTTTTACACTGAGAAGAAAAAGGATGAAAGTAGCAACTGGTTTGGAAGAACACAGAATTGCAAAGTTTAAAAAAAGTAAATTTTCTAGCACCTACACCATGCCTAAATCTACTTGTAAGTAAATAAAATAGCATGTTTAAGAATAACCATAATTACAAGCTCTGAAATATTTAAAAATATAAAATGAGAAACAAGTAATTTCTACAACAATATTTAAACTGAAATAAGAATTTAAAAAATTAAAACTTTAAGATTAAACTTGTTTTACCATTCTTATTGCTTTGTTCTTCTTTTCTTACTGTTTTCCAGCTTTTTGAATGTGCAATGGAAGCAGAACTTTTCAATGAAGTTGAAGATTTGCCTTCAAACATTTTCCCATCATCAGAAACCTCAAACAGATATTCTTCCACGTCTTCTTCCTTGGAAGCTATCTTAAAACCTTTATTTCTTTTTTATAGTCAAGCCCGGATGCTGAAGAGGATCTTGTAAATCCTTGAGCTTCCTATAAGATGATAATTCATGAATCACTGAATAGTTATGTTTGCACTGCTCTAGGTAAATAGTGAATGCATCTTTGAAATGAACAGAAAAGTTCAAGTATGTAAATCTTATGGACCTAAGGAATAATATTTTAAAACTTTTTAAAGAGTTTACCAGAAAATAATCAGAACTAGTTTACTTTTGAAAGTTGCAGGAGAGTGAGGGTAATTTGATGATTGAAAACGTTTTTTTTTCCCTCTCTACAGAAAGAAAATGAAGTTAAATTCCAGAAGGTACAGCTTCGTTGTTTCACTTTTGTTGTTAATAAGGTTTTTGAAGCTGTTTTTAAGGATTACATACAATATTTAAAATAAAGTTATCAGTATGATTCAAGGAAGTTCTTTAAAAAAAAGTTTTGTTAAAAGCACTCTTTTGGATGGTGTTTATCATGACTTTCACAAGAATATTGATAAAATACTGCTTTAAAAAGTCACTTTTTAAGTTCAGATATTATAAAGATTAAAGAAGTCATTTTTCAAAGAACAGATAAGCTGGATAAGTTATTTAACCCAATTGGTCAAAATAGAAGTAATTAATACACAAAAAGAAGAATCCCGTGGAAAAAAAAAGACTATGTTTACCACCTCAAAAGGGAGTAGTGCATTAATCTCCACTGTACTTTCTCCTGAGTCTAGTTGTCTGCCAAAGTGACAGATGTTTCACCATTATATATGTTAAATGTTATTCCTCACATGTTTTTTAGCTACAAATAGTATACGAGAACAACTTATATAACTGAAAAGTTTTTCACTAGTAATCTAGAAAAACATAACTTCTGTGAAGTAATTAAATATTTTTATATGATAAAATAATTATTATATACTTCTTTTGGTATTTCATATTGAGCTTACAATGTCACTGTGATCTCATACTAGTGATAATTTGATGAATGGAAGTCAGTTAATTCTACATTATTTCAGCCAAATATTAAGAATTAATTCATACACACTTGATTTCTTACTGCAGAATCTCATTGTATAAATTAGTTAACTTCCTAATCTAACTAAGCCAATAGTAGCTGTTGTTCTATTTTTGTTCAAAGATAACTAAACTAAGTTTCTGCAACTGAAAAAGTAACTGAAATTGAAACTATGACTAAAAATTCTGTGCAGTTACCAACACACATCTCAAAGGACCTAATGTTCATGTACAATGCACAATTTGGTTGTAAATATAAAACAAAAAATAATGTAGCATCACATCTCATTTTATATAACAATAACTGTACCAAAATACAGCATTACTAAATGGGAAAGCATATATCCTGTTAAGGAATATCTCACTCCTTGTACAATACATATATATATCAAATGAATTTCTTTACATATTAATGTACAATAATGTTTAACTCAAAATAGTTGAAACATGTTTTTTAATAATACTCGATACGTATGTACTTAAACCAAAGATATAATTGTCTTTATACTCTATGATATACACACAAGAGGACAGGACAAGTGAAAACCTGGAATTTCAGCACCAATTGAAAAAATACATTCGGCACCTATTGGCATCTGATCAATTCAGCCTTTGGATCTTGTAAGATCCTGTACCTCCTTTGGATGCCTCAGCCTCAAGTTTTTGATTGGTTTAAACACAATAAAATATTTATTGGTTAAATAAAATGTTATTTCTTTTTTCATCCTCAGATTTTTTATTGTTTAGACAAATTAATATTTTGACTGGATGAACATACACCCATTGAAAAAGCATGACATCTTGGGTAAAAGAATTATCCATTGAAGGTGCCAAATTGTCCGTCATTTCACACACACAAAGAGCTGGGTGAATTTGCACTTATACTTCAAATCCTTCATTTTTCCAACACTGAAAAACTGAAAAAATTAAAAACCTAAGTATGTATCAGTAAAATACATTTAGGTATAGTACATATTTTTGCCAATTTCTAAATTCATATAGCAACTTGCCAGATGTTAACTACAATTTATCTGTTGTACAGCAGCAGTCAGTTAACTCTCTCGCTACAGGCTCAATCAATTCGATCCAATTCGTGACCCCACATTGACCTTTAGAGTATCCATACTATAACTTTTAATATGTTTTGTATATCCAAGTCTTTTGTAGACAAAAAATCAGAATTTCTAATGATGTACTTTTACTAAACAGTTCTCAGTGAATATATGGAGTCAAAGTGTTGACTGCTCCAAGTGCAAAGTGATTTTCATGTTAAGAGTAAAAGTACTTTTCTTCCTCTGAAAATTGTTAAATTTCATTTGCATAACCTCAAAAACGTCCTAAATACATTTCAAACATTTTTTTCAATAAAACTTTATATTTTGTCCATTATTTTCTCTATCCTAACTCTATACACATTCAGTCAATTTGTACGATCTCATAACCACCATAAAAAATACGAAATAAATCTAAATTACCCTTTCTTCTTTCTAGAATAACTGCAAATTGTAACAAGAAACTACATTTGTTTATCCTAAACAGCTTAACATTCACAACAGTATACATCTGTTTCTACTTAAATTTTATTGTCTTATTTCCTTTTGAGCTGTGTTAAACTAATGATCTCATCACATAAGTTGTAAATCACTTAACAAACATGTAACTCATGTTACATATCGTTTAACATAACGCACAAGCTGTTCACGAGCATACCTCGTGAATAATTTTCTTCTTTATCTTACCTTATATTACCTAACAAGTTTCTAATTTTTACATTTTAGTTACTTTTTAAATAATAAATAAACAATACAGATGAAAAACAAGAAATATAGAACTTACCTGGGTCTTCATTTTTTTGCTGTAAACTTTTGATGAAACTTAACCCTACTTTTTTATACTAATGATACAACTACACAAAACTTATTTAATTAAATAATACAGCTAAGAATACAGAGTAATAACACACAAAAAGCAGACAAGGTTCTACAACTATCATACATATTCTGGCTTTCTAACTATGCAATAAAAGCCATTAAAAAATCAGCTAAACTCACTGATGTGTTTCCTACTGGAATAAAGTTTAAACATGAAGTAAATCAGGCAATTATCTGTACAGAAAACAATGTAATATAATACATCATTTGATAGATTAAAATTTTGACTTTCTATTAGTAATAAACAGTATAGTATTAAACTTCAGAGAGAACTATTGGCAATTTGTGAAAGAAAGGATGTGACATGTGGGCATGGCAAGTGGGTCTGGTTTTCTAGTTTATGACTCCGTAAACAAATAAGATTGAAGGCTATAAAAATTATACTTTGCCTGATTAATAACTATATTATAATGAGTACTTTATGTTAAATTCTGCACTTCTAGAAGGGATGGTAAATAAATTAAAGAAGAGGGAAAACCTAGAGAGCAAATGTCACAATTCTCATACTAGAGGAGATTGAGGATTTTACTAAATATTTCCTTATGAAATTGTGAACTTAAAACTTATATAATATTAAAATTTGATTTATTAGCTATGTTTTGTTGCCAATTTTATTCATATAAAATGATAATAAGGTAGTTTATATTCTGAATAACTCTCTAAAAATTTGTGGCATGCCTATGGTGAGAGGATTAAACTATCTTATGAATTATACCAAATATCTTAATATCAAAATTTGCTTAGTTAAGACTCACCAGTGCTGAAATAAGAGCATGGTCCCAAATATCCACTCTTCTCACCTGCTGTCGGTGCTTTTGAGCAGTTTTTTCCCCCACCTTTTGAGCACTTCCTTTGCCATTAAAAACAGTTAAACCAACAGAAGAAGTACCAACCTTTAGTCCACCACCTGACTCCTTAACAACTTTGAAAGGAGAAGACTTACTCTGAATTGGAACTGAAGCAACAGCAAGTTTGTTACTCTGTTTGAAAAAAACATTAGCAATATCACTATCAGGAGTTGCTGGTAGTGATGAAGTTGTTCCAGTTCCAATCATACAAAGTTTGTGACTTTCAGATTTAGTCTTGTTAGTAAATGGACTGTTAGTAGCAACCTTAGCAGAAGTTGTGTTATTAGCATTAGTTTGGACAACAGCCTTCACTAAATAGGTGACACTGTCAATATAATGTTTTGAAGGAAAGCAGTAGGAGTCCTCATCCTCCCAGTGATTAATCTGGCCAGAAAGAGAAGCTAAATGAGTATTACAACTGGTAACAGAATGTTTAGAATCTACAGAAGGAATAGCTACCTCATGCTCAGCTGCAGATTGAGCAGACAATACAGGTGTAGTGTGATGATCCACTTCCATACCTATTGACCAATAAAGATACAATATTTCACTATATAAAAACCGATAACTGAGCAAATGTTAAGCAATTCAATGAAGTAAGTTCAAAATTTGACAATACTAACCATACAAATAAAAACACTATTCATCAACTTGCCTTTTATTTCCTTAAAGTAATTTGTTTTAAAACTAAGGATGTTACAAAAAGTCATAACAGTTTCAAAATTTTCTTCTTAGTATTATCTGAATTAAAATCACAAATTTAACATCATTCAGTATAAAACTTTTCCTCAGAAGGCACTAGATATAGTACCATCTGCAAATCAGTGGGATGAAATGTGAAGTGAAATTAAAATTGCTCACTATTCTATGTTAAAAAGGAAGAAAAGCAGCAAAATTATTGTTCAGTTTTGAATTTTTGTAAGAAAAGTTTAAATTTAAATGAAAGAGCTACTAACAACAAATATTGAAGAGATGATTGATGATACATCTATTGATACAATGACAGTAACTTTTACACCTAACATCTTAAGTTACAACTAATATCACTCATAAAAAATTTGCACAGAGAGTTACATAAACACATTTTATAGCCAAATCAAAAACTTCAATCCAGTTAAAAATAGTAGCTTGATATCTATTTTTTGGTGTGTAGAATAAAACAGTAGCATGACAATTTGGTTTCCAGAAGGTTCCAAATAAATTAAACCTTATGAAATGAAATAGGAGAGCTGTTGTTTTACGTAGTATCTGTTTTATATGTACATGTAAAAACGTCTTCAAAATCTATATACTGAGCTTGAACTAAATCATATAAAAAAATGGAATATTAACCATAGACAAGAGGAATGAGTTTTCAATAAAGTCTGACATAAAGAAGTTTCACTGTCCTCTTTCTTTAAAGTTAATTTATCTATGTTTTAAAAGCTTGTATAACATACTTTTTCTCAGCACATACCTTCTATTCTTGTGTTATGCAGGTATATCATATTTCTTCTACTTGCTTTAGTTATATAGGAACATTAAAAAGTTCTTTTTGTTTCTCTAATTTCTATGCAGTTCATTCAACTCTAGAGGATACTGCAGTAACATATAATATCCAAGTTGAAAGGATTAGCAACCGTAGTATCCTTTGCTGGTCAAATTGATGTTGTCTGAATGTTACAGCCAACCAATGCTGTGAGAGAACAATGGTCACAAGGCAATGCTGAGGACAGAAAAGAAAACCCAAGCTTTCCATGTTCATTTTCTACCTAGAGTTCTTTCAGTAAAGACCCACTTTAAGATCATTGTTTTTAGTTTGACAGAAGTCTGTCCTGAGAAAGAAAAGTGTGTAGCTAATTACAATCCACTAGAAACGACTTCTTTTCACATGTGTGTAAGTGTGTATGCTGCTTTTTCTTTTTGTTTGTTCTGTAACAAATATTGTGTTCATTTTGTCAAACTTGTTCAGCCATATTATTTCACACATATTAGGAGAATTCATTCAAAATTATTATATTCAGATTATTCTTCTTATCTCCCAGGTGAATCTGCTGTTATTAGCAGATCTAACTATCTAATACTTGTTGGGAAATCAATTTCTACCTGAAAAATACCACAACCTCAAGGTTATCAGGAGTCTACAGGGTGATTCATAATTTGTGTAACATAGTTAGATCATCTCCAAAATGGGAGGATACATGTAGAATGATATCCAAAGGAAAAAAAAATATCAATGATAAAAATAATGTGATACACTATTTGACCAACAGGTATAAAAGACTAGATCTCTACACCTCCTCAGTAGAATGGAGAGTGTTAAAAAATGTCAATGATAAAAATAATGTGATACACTATTTGACCAACAGGTATAAAATACTAGATCTCTACATCTCAGTAGAATGGTGAGTGTTAAAAAATGTCAAAGTTAACACTTACAGAATGCACTGAACTGTTGACCATTATTCGACTATCCTAGGGTTTCCATCAGCAGGCACTGACCCCTCATGTGGAGATAAACTGTTTTAAGGGAGGTAGAACTTTTCTTAATGTCACCAGTGGCTTTCTGACAACATATTGTCCTACTGATTCCCAATATTTTGTTTTTTCTAGCTACACCATATGGTACTTTGTTATCCAGCAGTTTTATTCCTTCTGAATGTTGATGAAGACTTTCCATAGTTGCCCTTTCACCTTACTAATGCAGAGGAGATTAATATCATACCAATAGAGGTGACCTGGATTTAATAAAGAGGCTTCTCCTGCATGCATATTAGCTCCTCATTTATCTTTACCTGGCACATACATCTTGGTAATAGTCTTATCATACAGTTGCTTTACTTTCTACAATCCATCTTGTAACCAACCAATCTAAGTTTTTGCGGATTGCACTGAACTAATTGTGTTGAATGGTAAAAATGGCCATAACATTGCTGCAACAGCTACTACTTTTGTTAGCAATTGTCCAGACAAAAGCCAATTCCAAAACCAATGGTAAAAAGATTAGTGGAATAACTCACTCCTTCAGGCAAGAAGCATAGCATTTGATCTTATTGCACAACCCTCTAGTAGTCAAATGTTTGTTGCTGCCATAAACATTGTTCTTTGTAACATCCAACTTTTGTGATGATCTGAATGTTTTGCAAATTATCATTTACCCTGTATATGTTACTGGTCATCTGTTCTAGTTAGAAATGTTTTCACCACTCTGGACTTAAAGTTATGATGTACAAGTTCACAGTGATATTCAAACATTTAAACCTAATTTCATTTCCTTTAACATGTCATTTTCCAATACAAGAAAAAGTTGATATTCTAACAAATGCTGTTCTTTTCCCAAAGAAAAGAAATGGAAAGACAAGGAGACAATGAAATTAAAAACTGAGAATACTTTTGAAATTCATTGCTCAATCTATCTTGTGAAGAAAATCCTGAAAAAGTACTCCGAGATGATACATACAGGGGATTAGAATGAACATGTTAACTTAGATACACCAATGATTGATGAATTTGAGAACACCAATTATCAATATTCAAAAATCTAAATTCAACCCTACAAATTTAATCTTTACATACAGAAGTCATTTCTAATAGTACTACATATTTTCTGCAATAAATAACACAGCATAAAAAAGTTTACCATCATGTTCTAACTTTTTTCTTCTTAGAGATGCTAATCCATGTATTCTTCCTACCACACCATTTGCAAGTTCTTCATTCTCCTCATCCTGTGTTATATTCACTTTATCGACATAATCAAAACTAGGCTCAGCTAGCACAGCAGGGAGTTCCTGAACATAGCCTTCAATTTTTACCTTTGGTGATTCAATACACTGTCGTTTTGGAGATCCATTTTGAGCCTCATTTCCACCTTTAAAAGGATATACATGAGTCATAAATTTGATTAAAACTTTTTTAACTGAACAAACAAAAGTTATAGTGATTAAGTATATCAGCAAACCATTGTAGTACATAGACAAGTGATAGTCATAAGGCTAACACAGATGTTATCAGTTGGTCAGGAATTATTATAAGTTTTTAAATCCCTTTCTAGTAGTTAGTTGTTGTTTTTTATGTACATATTTGTAGATATACATGTAATGTTAAGGCCAAAATTAGCAGTTGTCATAATCCTCTAATCTAACATACCAACAACTTTCCTTAAGAGCTGATCCAAACAAAACTCCTAAGTTTTACAATCACGAATGGCTTATTGCCATCTAAAATACACACTTTTCAATTCAGGCTGCATGGTAAGGACTCACATCTTCATGTACCCCAATTAATTACCTTTTTCCTTGTATTATTGGTGAAACTTGAACCAGAAGCATACAATTACAAAAATCAGTGTTTCAATGTTTAAACTACTGCAAAAGCATTGCTCAACATTCTATTGTTTTGATCCTATATAACATTTATGAGATACATTTAAATGTTTTTGATAATTCATACAATGTTTTATAAATACAGAACTCAACTATGTACAAGTAATTAGATTAGGGAACTGTAGCAATACAGTTATAACACACAGAATGTTCTATTTAATTTTCATTGACTGAGAGGGTTCAGCAGTAATATTGATTTTTTTTTACATTCTCTTTGGTGTTTGGAAATCAACTAAGCAGTTTGATGGCCAACAAATGTTTTGAACAAATTTGTTAAAGCTGGGTGAAATATTTCTAAAATAAAATTAAAGTTTAATTTGTGAAGATCAAAATCAGTGTTAGCTGCAGCTTTCTCTGTGAAAACAAGTTTTGTGTGATTGCTTCATCAATATCAACTCCAACCAGATTTCACCCTGGTTTATCACTGTAGTGAGACTATTTCATTAGGATGTAATAATAAAAAGTAGTAATGATGTCAAACATTAATTTATTTTTGTGAGTTGTGACACTAATTCGTTTAGCTGAACATCCATGAATTAATCAGAAATACAGATGAAAGATCATAATTGATTAGTAAATACCATTAATCCCCCAGCTCTAGTTTTTCTCACACACACCTTGAAGAAAAGTAAAAATATAAGAAATAGATTTTGCACTAAAACTTCACATGCAAGGCAATTTTTTTTATTACTGGGCCAACTGATATCAAAATATTTTAAAGTAGCAATGGCACAAAATACTATAACACAATGAAAAGTAACAGGGGAATTGGTCAGGTGACCAGAAAAAAACTTCTGTGCCTAAAATAAATCCAGCAAAACAGCTACAACACTAAATAAATAAACAAAATAAAAACTGACTTGAAGACTGGCCTGAAGGAATTTCTTCTAATGGTAGTCGTCGTTTTCTTAAACTTGTTTTTGAGATTTGAGCAATTTTTTTGTTCAAATTCTCACGACGGGCCTGTGTTCTTTCCAGAAGTTTCTATTGGTCATAATAATAGAATTTTATATAAAAGACAGCACTTAACATAACTATTAAAAAATCTTTTAGAAACACAGCAATTATTTGATACAGAAAATAAACCACACATGAATTTTCTAACCAGACTTCCCAATAAAAAGCAGCATTTTCATTTGTATTAAAATTTTACATTACTCACTAAATTCAGTTTCAAATCATATCATTATTCTGTTAGCAGTGCTTTAGTCTAGATAAGATGCATGGCCATGTAAATTCATATTTCTTTACATAAAAAAGGCACCAGAAATTAAACTTGTGTGCATAACAAAAACACATACTATTTACCCATAATTGTATCATTCCCATATATGTGTGTATTCACCAATTAAAAAAACAACAACAAAAATCTGTATCTGTAATAAAGTAAACACAAAGCAAAAACATTCTCACTGGAAACTGACTGACAAACTAAACAATTTGAAAGATTTGATGTCATCCTTTAACAAAAAATTCTACAAACTGTTTGATTTACTTTCCCAAGCATCACTGAAGAGCAGTGATTCAGCAAAGATATAGTTTACTGAAATAGATTAGGCTTTTGAAATTACAAGTAAGGAAAAAAAAATTTCACAACTGAGTTATACAGCAATTACCAGCTGGTGAGTACATGTAGTTAGGGTTACTTCTGAACTAAAAATTATACCAGTCAGATTCTATAGACAAAGTGCTTATTGTACTGAACTACAGAGTTCTGCAATTATTGGAATTTAATAATCAATTAATCATCACAGTCATTAATCAGTTACCTTCAACTAATTGATTATTCTCACATGAGACTTAGACAGTTGGAATAAATGAAAATGGTAACAGTAGGAAATGCTAATTTTGATTAATTGATTATTTTGATAAGCCCTGACACTAACCATTTAAGCTTGAATTAATAGAAAATAATATTCAGAAATCATAATGGCAATATTTCAATTGCTTGGATAGTTGAAAACAGTGATAACCACAAACAGTAATTTTGATTATTTGATTATTTTATATTACACTAATTAATGTATTTGATGCTCATACGTATTTGATGAATAGAGTTCATTTCCTATTTCTATCGAATTTATGCTTTATATGCCTTGAGTGTCCTTAATAGGGCTTCGGTAGAGAAATAAGAAGTGAAAACACCTCATAAACACAGCATCAAAATGTCAGATTTTGGAGAATAAAAGTCACAGAAACCTGAAAATATGCAAGTTTTCAGAAGAATTTTCATTTTCAGAAACGCTGCAGTTTATTTCATTATGTCAAAAGCTTATCTGGAGCATTATTTATGATATGAAGTTACAATTATACCAATTCTGTTAAGATTATGTATACAACTACAGTTATCAGTAAATGTTGGTATTATTAGGAAGGTATTTTAATGCAAAACAAAATGGATCTGAGTATATCTGTCCAGTAGAAAATTGAGACTAAAGATACACAAATTAGCTTTGTATCTTTTAACAAAACATGTCAATGAAGTGCATGTAAAGATTATTCTATTTAGATTTCTAATCTAACATATGAACAACAAAGGACCATTCTTTTCACACCTACCCATGAGAAAAGTAAATATTTAAACCTACTCTGGCTTCCACTACTGTTGATAACAACTCATTTCTTACCCTTTTAGAAAAATAAAATTGTCTTACCTAGAGCCTAGCCTGCCTCTTCCATAAACTTATGTTAAACTTACACAATATATTCCATTCAAATATTTTTTATGTAATCTATTTAATATTTTGTCATATACATAACTTAACACTGTGAGAAGGAGTCCCATATATTAGCATTCTCTTAGTCAGAGCCAACATTTGGCACTGTATAAATTTAAAGTAATTTCTTAAACAAAGATTAGTGACACAGGTGCATGTCTAAATGTTAAAGATCTAACTGTGTATATATTATGTAATGAACTTATATATACAGTGGTGAGAAGATTTATTTTTTCACACTTTTCTACATAATCTTTTTTTTTTTTGAGGCCCTAATGCATGTAGGTGCAAAAGTGTTTCAGAGATGATGCAATACTGTCTAACTATTACATCAGCAGCTTTAGTTTATGGGCTGTCTGGGTATTGCATAAGCTGGTTTTTGGCTATAAATACAGAAGTTTTTACTGAGAGTAAGTTTAGAAGCCTATCTGCTACAAAGTACAAGTGATGCTATCATGGCCAGGGGTTGGAAGTTAACTCCATGGAAAAAATCAGTCACTGTTTCTTTGAACAAAGGACTTTCAACAAGGCAGATTGCTAGAAGAATTAAATTTATCCACCATCCAGTCTACTGTGAGCTGCTGGGTGCAGAGATAGAGAAAAAGTGGCTGTGTGGAGCAGTGGAAGGGAAGGGATAGGAAGAAAGCTTCCACAGCAGTTGACAATATTGTTCTGAAACATGAGCTTACAAAATCAGCAACTGTCATTTGCAGATCTCAAAACACCATTGCAGGAAACTTCAGGGATCATTGTTACTGCATGCATTGTCTGGATTTGCCTATGTTCAGCCAATCTCCCAGCAAGATGGCCAAGAAAGAAACCCCTCCTCACCAACAAGATGAGGCTCAACTAGGCCAAAGAACATGCTGACTGGACTAAAGCAATGTGCTCATCTCAGATGAATCAAAGTTCAACCTGCACAGGTCTAATGTGAAGCACTTTGTTTGATGTCAATGTGGAGAAGAGTTTCATCCAGCATGTTTGAATGCAACTGTAAAGCATTTGCAGGGTCAGGTGATAAGAGGATGCATCTCTGGTCAGGGTGTGGGACAACTGCATTTTGTGAAAAGCACTGTCAATGCCATCAAGTTTGTTTCATTGGTTATTTTAGATCAAAGCTACATTGAGCTACGTGCTGTGTCCACTGCAGGGAATCGAACCCAGGATTTTTTGTTAGTTATACTATCTTAGAATGGCTCCACCAATGACATACCACATGATTTTGTATCAAATTAATGTATCGCTATCTTAATCAGTATATACATACCTTTGTAAAAGGATCAATAACACCTTCCATATTTTGTCCCTGTACTAGCACTGCAGCAGTAGGCCTAGTTAGTTTCAATCTTTTAAGTTAACTTTATATTCATAAGCAAACTTGTTGGATGAGACTAAAGTTCTACCTAAACAATAAAATGCCAACTTAATAATATGCCATGCTGTCTTAATCTTTCTTTTTTTTTTTATATTCTTACTTCGTTAAATTAGTGCTACTAATAACATCAATAAGCAACATCTTTCTTTCAAGTTCAAAAAGTCAATCATAAAAAGGCAAAACACTGTAACTTATAAGTTTTAAATTAAACTAGTATTAAACTTAAAAGTTAAATTCCACTACAGAAGTCATGAAACATTGAATTTTGGAAGCAATGTAAAGTTATAACGACTATACATGTTACATTATTTAATTTGTTACTAACTTTTAACTATATTCCTTGTTACTAATACTAATAGTAGTGTTAGTGTTGTTTACAATTTATAGTATTATTAGTAATACTATACATCTTAAACAACACTGACAGTCTTAGGCTAGTTCTGTAAAGTTTCTTTAAAGTTTAACTTAAAGTTAAACTAAGTTAACGCAGTGGCAATGACTATATAATATCTAATTATTAATATACTAAACCTAGTAACAGTGAGTAAGTTTCTACTGACACGATAGTGTTGTGTTACAAGTGTAATAAAACTAACAGCATTACTTCCAAACACTAAGTTTTGTCTAACAGTAACACAGAAATTAAATTATTATCAAACACCTTATTTTGAAATTGGGCGGCCTGCGCACGCGTATAAGAAGTAAACTTGAGTGGCGAAAGTGTACATAGAAAAAAAAAAATGAGCGAAATAATTTTAAAATGCAAGTGTTTATAAAGCAGAAAAACAAATATACAAAAAAAGCCTTTTGCTAACTGTTTGTTTTAGAGCAAAGCTACATAATGAGCTATCTGTACTCTATTACCATGGGGAATCGAGCCCCGAATTCTAGCATTGTAATCCGTAAACTTACAGCTGACCCACAGCGGGCCGTCTTTTTTTGTAACTCCATTTTCAAATAATTGTTTTTAATGGTGAAATGGTAGTTACTCAAAACTTCGTATCATTTCAGTCTTCTATTGAAAAAATTTATGATTCAGGTTGTTTGTTTTAGCGCGAAGCTACATAATGGGCTGTTTGCACTCTGTCCATCGCGGTTAATAAAACCCTAGATTTTAACGTTGTAAGTCCCTAAAATTACTGTTAATCCGTTGTGGGACATTATGCATAAGCTATTAATTGTACAGGTAAAAATAAATGGATAAAATGTTTTTTTAAAAAAAAGGACTCAATAAGACTAAGTAAAAAGTTGTTGCGACTTCATAAAAGGTTATTCATAAGTTTAATGTAAGAGTTGAAGTCTACTATTTATTTTTATTGAGAG